GACTACATCTCCACTTCTGTAGATTATTCATGATATGACTACATCTCCACTTCTGTAGATTATTCATGATATGACTACATCTCTGCTTCTGTGGATTATTCATGATATGACTACATCTCCGCTTCTGTGGATTATTCATGATATGACTACGTCTCTACTTCTGTGGATTATTCATGATATGACTACGTCTCTACTTCTGTGGATTATTCATGATATGACTATGTCTCTACTTCTGTGGATTATTCATGATATTACTACATCTCTGCTTCTGTGGATTATTCATGATATGACTACATCTCTGCTTCTGTGGATTATTCGTGATATGACTACATCTCTACTTCTGTGTAGATGATCACCTGCTTCATCATATTCTCAAGCTACTTTAAATGTGGAACATTATACAGATTTATTTGGAAGTCCAAATAAACTGGCCATTCAGTGTAAATTCATAGTATTTTCTCTACACAGTGTTTTATTTTTTGGGTTATTGTTGTTCTGCCAAACAACAGATATGTTTACCAATTAAAAACAAGTTTTTACTGACCTGGTAGTTTTATGGTTTCAACTACAGGAAATTTTCTGAAGATATAAAATGTGCCAGAAATATTCTGAAGTTATATAACAAAGACATAAGAAATATTTAGGCCAACAAGAAATTTTTTTTTGTTTTCTGTTCAGAAAGGATGATACTGTTGTGCCATAAATTGTCATGTTCAAAAAATTTTAAACTAATCTATGATACTTTGATTATTTATAAAATTATTTTTTTATTTAATCCAAAGGTTGCACAACTAATGTAGATTGCATTTGGAATGAAACACAAAATGACTTCTTTTCTTTTTGTAGGGTTGTGTCGTGGTTCTGTGTGCCCAGAAAACTGTAGTGACGATTTTAAAATTTCACTTCATTTAAGTAACCCTAAGGGACCACCTCCACCCATTCCTTCAAAGAAACCACCAATTCCTCGAAAACCTCGAAACATATACGAAGACGTGGGAATTGAAATGGAGGGTGTAGGGAAGAGTAAAGTTGTTTTACAGAGTTCTTCAGAAAGCAAGGGTGATAGTCGCAACAGCTTGTCTGTAATGAGTCCTTTTGATGAAAATGCTGAGTGGGCAGAGATTGCTGATATCATGGCTTCTTTTGGAAGTGGAATAGCACGTGAATCACTCTTTTCAAGTGAGATGGAAGAACACTTTACAAATGCACTGAGTTTAGGTAAGAAAGGTCATTACCATATTGGCCCGATTATAGGGCAATTCTGAATATAAGGCGACCCCCATTTTCAGAAACTGTGGGAAAGAAAAATAAATTGAGTGTCATAACGTCCTTTTTTAGGTCCGCAAAATCAATACTATAACTGAACAGCCTGCAGGTGGATTAGTTGCAAGAATTAGCGATGACCTTGAGCAAACATCTGGCACGCATGCGTAGACGGATGCTATCTGGACATTCACGAATGCAACAGGCTAGGATAGGGGGAAGGGGCCTGTGGTCAGCCATGATTATAAGGTGACTATGAATTTTACAGCCTAATTATTAATCAAAAACCATCGCCTTATAATCGGGCCAATATGGTAGTTTGTTATAAGCATGCTGCTTTACAATATTCATGGGTATCATCCACTTTATTTAACTCATGTTTGAATTATTCTTACAAAACTGTATTTGTATTGTAACTAGTACTTTCAAAATTAATTTTCTTTTGATGCAGCTTACTTAGGGAAATCTTAATTGCATTTTGGTTAAAAAAGGTTGTGCCATTGAAAATGTTTTACTGAATTAGAATATTACAATATATATTATTAATTCAGAAACTTTAATTTAAGCAGTTAACCCTGCCAAAATCAACTCTATTCCATAATATTGCCAGGTGGGTGTTGAAGGTGAAAACAAACCCCCATTTGGACCACAAATATACAGTAATTCCATGAGGCAACATATCTGCTTGCAGGATAACAGCTAAACCCATGTCTTTAACACAACTGGCCATAACATATTCTTGTTTACTGTACAGCTAGCAGTCTCTTTCCCAGTACAATGTGAATGGGCAAGTGCCATACCATTCAATGCAATACTGATGAAGGATACAACTGTAAAATCACGATTTGGTCAAATAAATCCTTCATATTTTTATTTACAGTGGGTAATTAAATATGCTTCAGAAGACTGTGGTAGCTTGTTAGAACATATATGCATATTTCTAGCCAGTTTGATACATGTACAATACAGTGTTTAAACTGAAGGATTCAAATGATAGTATGTTGCATAGTATGATAGTATTGTTGCAACTTATTCTATTATTCACTGGATGTTTTTTTTTATTATTTGGTAAAAATAATGTGAAGTCTAGTTCATGTAATGATAAATTAATTGTTTTTCTCCAGTAATGTTTTATACAAACTGCATCCACTCATAGGCCTTCACAAACAACATTTCTACAGAAGTTCCAAAACTAATGTATTTACTCTTAGCTCACAAATAAACTTAGTTGTAGGATTTATTCAGTAATCAATTAATAACAAACATGCTCACTGATTTATGCTTTTAACATCAAGTTCATTTTCAGTATTATGTTACATGTGCATGAAACTTCACAAGTAAATCACTGTATAATTCACTAATGACCCTGAAGTGAATAACTCATTAACTGAAGAATTTACTGATTCTGTTATAGTCTAATTTTCTACATTCTACTGAGACCCTTTTATGAAGTTTCTAGATCTTGTATCATCATGACTTAATGGCATTGTCTGTCTAGCAAACAAACATCTAAATTAAAATAGGAAACATATAGTTTACAACAATATAATAAGATGCAAAATAGTTGTTAAAAATGGATTTATGTACATGTAATTTTAGCATATACATAAACTCCATTTAAATAATGAGTAGATAATATCCAGTTTATTTTCATAACTTTAATGAATATCTGTTTCAACATCGTGTATTTATCATAGAGTTCTCATCAAAACACATGAAGTTTAACATACCTATAAATATAACATAACATAGTTTAACATATCTATAAAGAAAGATGCACTTTGAACCCCATTGAGAAAATCATGATGAGATGCACCTTTGCTTTTAGATCATAAAAAACTAAGGCTGTATTCCAAAAATTTAATTGCATATTTATGCTGTTTTAAAACTGAACTTAAGAAAAAACACAGCAAAAGCTACTTGTGAAGTTTCATGTACATGTAATACTGAAAATGAACTTGATGTTAAAAGCATAAATCTGATCATTGATATATGATATCATGATTTCTAAACATCAGCAAAACTGCACAAAATTTATTTTCTGAAGTATATGCCCTGTTTATTTATTTTTATTTCTAATGAGTTTACAAATCGATTTTTTCCCCAAATTTGACAGAAAATAATAATATTTCATATATTTTTACAAAAACATTAACTTATATATACCATATCAGTGTGTAAAAGTTAAAAAATAAACAACAACAGTCTATGTATATAACATATATCTGTATTTATACAGAGTTTGCAATTTATGAGCTAGTCCTAAAAATGTTTAGTGAATTCATCAATTCAGTCTCCGGTAGTCTTAAAATAAAATAAAAAAATCTGTGTATACACAGACACAAATACATCGGTCATGCATGTGCATTCATATTTATAAATTTGTCTGCTGCACCTTTGGTCCAGTATGGTATGTAAAAAATCTAATGTGTGATTGAAAATTCTTAGATGAGTGGTTCAGATGTATGATTTAGTGTAATAATTAACTTTTCTACACTTAAACATAGTTGGAATATTTAAAAGATGTACATGAAACACGTATTTATGAATATTTTGAAATAATGTTTATGATACTTAGAAGCATTTATGTTTTTATCTTGTTAAAAGGGTATAAAGATGAATGGTTGAAACTTGAGTCTTTATATGAATGTGCAAGTAAAAAATATTATGATTTCTTATAGAGTCTAGTACTGTTTTCTTGTTAGGTTAAACAATATCTGTTCCTTTATTTCTGGTATAAATGTGAAGTTCAAGGACATTTAATTTTTTGATACTAACTATTTTATCTATGCTTTCCAAAATTTAATACTGCTTACATGTCTGACATGGTTAGGGTGCAGGTGTGAATGCCATTACTGAACATGTTCTGCCTTTTCAGCTGTGGAAACATGACAGTGTTATGGTCAATCCCACTTTTCATTGGTAAAGATTAGCTCAAGGGTTAGTGGTGGGTGGTACTGATTAACTGCATTCTGTCTGATCTATCACTTTTAAATTGGGGATGGCTAGCACAGATAGCCCTTAAGTAGGTTTGCTTGAAATTTAACAAGCAAATAAAATATTGCCTGCAAAACATTGTTAATACCACAGTATGCCAGCAATACAGTCTCTCTATATACTTAATTTGTTTTATTTTAAAGCAACGTTTTCTATAAAATGATATTTTACTTAACAACATTATAAATGTAATGTTTATAATTAATAGAGAAAAAATATATTTTGCTTCTTCTCCATTGATATTTTTTCTAGGTAGTCAATAATGTTGGTTAAAGTAAGATTCAGCGTAGCATGAACTTAGGGTTACTGGTTCTGTAAAAGAAATGATATGTTAGACTTGTGTGAACCTGCAAGTAGTTGTATGCATTATTTGAAATATTAAATCATTTAGGTAAGGCATGGAGACAGTTTCCTCCCCCATTTACTTAATATAATTGTGTATGTAGGGAACAATACATATATATATAATGCATAGATTGCATTGTTTGAATGATTATTATATAATACAAGAAATAATCAAGAGCAAATGGTCCCTGATTTTTACCTATGAAAAATGCAAAGCATCCACCCAGACCCAATTTTTTGTTATTCTTTAACATTTGAAATCAAGTAATTGTTAGTAATTATTTTCTTGGCACTTGTATATAATGTTAAAATAATAGTAAATAAACCAAAAATAATTGTTATTGTTGCATAAAAATAAGAAATGTGTGTCTTGTTTCAGAGACTTCAAAAACAGCAGATACAGATAAATTCCAAACAGTTGAGGAATGGCTGACTTATCTTGGTCTGTCTGATTATGAAAATCTCTTTATAATTAATGGATTTGATGACATTAAATTTTTGGTAAGTTTCTATGCATTCCCTTTATTTACTGATTTATGTCTAAATTCGTTTTCCTGTGTGAATTGAAAATTTGTTCATATATAAAAAAAATAGATTTTAGATCAAGATATAAGATAAATAACTGAACACATATTTATGATATAATAGCTTACACACAATTTTAAGATTATCATTGGCATCTTCTGACTGGAAGAAAACCAAGGAAAACACTTTAAATCCTTATTTGGCCTCAATACAAAGTCTATCTAGTTTATACTGCATATGACAGTTGAAACTGATCCTTAGATCTTGATGAACAACAGACTTCACAAGCTACCTGTGATTGACTTTTGTGCAATTTTTGGTTCACTTGTATTACAGTAAATCTGAGTGTGTTATGGAAAACATTATCAGATGACAGGGCATAAAAACAGTGATGAATGTATGTGATACATGTAATGTTTTTTCATATCTGTTAGAAAAATAAAGTATTTCTTTCAGTATTATTTTTAGTAATCTTATGAATTTTATTACACTATGCTTTCAGCTTAAAGTTAAATGAGGTGAACCTGTATATCAGTTGCATTCTTGTAATGGAATATTAAAAATATATTTTAGGGTGGAAACATTCTAGAAGACCAAGACCTTCAGAATATAGGCATTTCTAATAAAGAGCACAGACAAAAAATTATAAATTTTAGGAAGAAGCTACAACCTGTTCAACCTATAGGAAAAGGCAAAGGAAAAACAAGGATGCCCGAATCAGTAAATGATTGGCTGAAATCATTACATCTTGAAGAGTACCAAAGTACTTTTCAGAAGAATGGTTTCACAGAAATAGATAGAGTGATGAAGATATGGGAAGTGGAACTAAATACGGTATTACTATTCTCATATATTCTCCAGTTCTCTGTACCTAGTTTTACGTAAAAAGTTCTTCTTCTAAGTTTCGTCAAATGTTTAAAAGAATATAACACAAAATTAAGGTGTTTTAGGGCAGACTTAGAACAGAAATGTTTATATGAAGTATAACTAGAAATTTGAGAGACATAACTCAAGTAGCTCCTAAACTTCTCGCTTTCACTTTTTTCAAGTTAAACACTATGAACCAGATATTTAATAGTCTGTTTTATCAGCATATGTTTACCTCAGCCAACAATTATGTAATAATCAATAAGTGGAGTGAATATGTTTCTGTAAAAAACGACAACAAAGAAATTGTTTGCTTGAAATCTTGAAGCTTGGTTATAAAAATGATGGTTGGGTAAGCCACTCGATTTACTTGGTTAAAGTTTCAGTAATGACAGTTTACTTTTCAGTCTGATTACATGACAGTTTCAATTAATGCAATCAAAACTGAGTAGATTAGTTTGAGAGGATAAGCTAAACTACCTGTATTAAACTTTCCAGTCAATGGCTGGTCTTGTGTTTTGTATACATTATCATCATAAAATTATAAAAGTTATTCTATATTCAGTCCAATTCATTAGCAATCTTACGTGCATATTCTTTAGTATCTTGTGTTCCTTTATTGACATGATAGTCTTAAGAACACAAAAGTGCTGGAAACTTGTATCAAAGATAATTCAAGCAACCTTCAATAACTTAATACTTCTGTTTTAACGAAGCTAAAAACACTTAAAGGATCTTATAAGGTTAGCGGTATTATATATATTACTAATATTTAAAGAATTAAATTATTGATAGATCTTACAAGTTTAATAGTATTATCTATATTACTAATCTTTAAAGAATTAAATACTTGATAGATCATGCATGTTTAATGGTATTATCTATATTACTAAGCTTTAAAGAATTAAATACTTGATAGATCTTACAAGTTTAATAGTATTATCTATATTACTAATCTTTAAAGAATTAAATACTTGATAGATCATGCATGTTTAATGGTATTATCTATATTACTAAGCTTTAAAGAATTAAATACTTGATAGATCTTGCAGGTTTAATGGTATTATCTATATTACTAATCTCTAAAGAATTAAATACTTGATAGATCTTGAAGGTTAATGGTATTATCTATATTACTAAGCTTTAAAGAATTAAATACTTGATAGATCTTGAAGGTTTAGTGGTATTATCTATATTACTAATCTTTAAAGAATTAAATACTTGATAGATCATGCATGTTTAATGGTATCTATATTACTAAGCTTTAAAGAATTAAATACTTGATAGATCTTGCAGGTTTAATGTATTATCTATATTACTAATCTCTAAAGAATTAAATACTTGATAGATCTTGAAGGTTAATGGTATTATCTATATTACTAAGCTTTAAAGAATTAAATACTTGATAGATCTTGAAGGTTTAGTGGTATTATCTATATTACTAAGCTTTAAAGAATAAATACTTGATAAATCTTGAAGGTTTAATGGTATTATATTTATTACTAATCTTTAAAGAATTCAAGTAATTTTCTTAATAAAAATGCAGTTATAAACTTCATTATAGGCAATAAGGATTTAGATACAGCACAACTGGAAGAAATTTCCTTAGAGAGTTTAATATTTTATGTCCAAATAATTATATTTTAGTTTATCACCAAGAGAGGTTTATATGATTGAATAGAACAAATTATGTGTATCATCTACAAAAACATTGCAATGTTAACCCTTTAGTACTGTAAAGACAACATAAGAAAGCTTGTTTTCTACAATAATTAGATAATATTCATATTTAACAATCTTTATTGTATTTTAGATGTATCCTTGCAATCTGATAGAATCTAAATTTCATAACTCATATTCCAGCCCACCATGAAGTCATAATAATGGCTGGTTTCTAAAGCATTATTTCTAAATTTACTCTCTCCTATGTTACTGTAAATTGCTTCATTTTGAAAATGTTTTTGGCACAGTTTAGTCACACAGGTTAATGTTAATTTTTCAACTTTTTGGTAACAGGTATTACAGATCAACAAACTTGGTCATCAGAAGAGAATATTAGCATCTCTTGGAGAAAGAAAACCAGAACAGTACATGGGTGACCTTGAAGACTTTGATTTATCAAAATTGGTTGGTATATCTTAAACAATGATATAACATTTCAGTTATTCTTGATTTAGAATAAAAAATTTGTTATAACGAGTTAACATAACAGAAAATTATTCACTTGTTTTATCGTTGCTAGCACCTCACCTTAACATCTTCATCAGAGTAACCACTTCAACCAAAACAAAACAATTATATTAAAGATTAATATTGTTCTCTGAGAGAAAGCCATGTTTTTTACAGTTATATCTACTTATTCCTTCTAGCCAATCATTTGCACCTTCAAGTGTCAAGTATTCAAATATCTAAACAGTATGCTCATTTTGTGTTCTACATTGTTTGTTTTTTACAATAAACATTGGCAGTGTAAAAACAAAATTGTGTTGAGTTTTATACTGGCTAATTTAAAATTAAATTTGAACAGACTTTATAAAATATTTTAGTAATGATGTAGAATGCAAATTGAGTAAAGCATATTTGTCGACCAAAGTAGAAAACTTAGATCATGAAGAACTGGAAACCAGAGGCCCTGCTAGGCGCTTAAAAGATTTGGGGCTCGGGCCAAAGGGCTTGAGAATTTTCGGTGTTTCAGTATGATATTCTTGATTTTTCAAGACACCAACTGGGGATTCAGGGCACTGTCAAATATATTTCGGGGCACATGATCAATGTGTCAATGCCTAGTGATGCCTCTGCTAGAAAAATACAGCCTTGATGAATTAGAAATAGTACAGAATTTCCTGAATTGGAAGTACTACAGACTTATAACATATCTCCACATTATCATAAAGGTGCATTCATAAATAAAGCAGAAAAGTATGAAATTAAATAAATCTGTTTTGGTTTCATTATGTCATATCCTTGTCTTGGAAGCATTGCAGCTGATAGACATTTTTTTTATATTACTATTGTGTTTCTTGGCATGATTTGTAATTTCATGAGGCTACTTGATGTTTGATGGATAACTTTTATTTTTATTATTGTATTTAAATCTAACTTAGTTTTTTATCTAATTTTCTATTTTACAAAGAAAACTATTTGTTGGTAACATTTATTATAGAAAGGTAAGATGATAAACATAGCCATAAAATTAATACTAAACCTGTAACTTATAAGTAGCAATTCACAATGGTAGTGCTAATTAGTACCTTCACTGTTTATTTTTAGTGGCCATGTTTATCATATTTTTAAATCCCACATGTAGTATTTTTGCAGTAGTAACAATTAATTTATAACGTAAAATCAATATTAATAAAAGCAGTAGTGAAAACAGTGTGTATTTTTTACAAGTTTTTGAATAAAACTCATAAACATCATTTTATGCACATAAGAATAAAAGCATTGGCTTCAATTTCTATAGTTTAAAATATACAGTACTTTCTTAACCCTAAATTAAGCCTCAAGTGACTGACTTGTTTACATACCATTCACTACTGATAGGGGTCCACCTATTGCATAAAATTGAGTAACTGTAATTTTGTATCAGATGAAATCATTCACTTTATATGTAGGATATATAAAATAATCCAGTCATAATTATTGATAATAACTGCAATATTGATGGTACTTGTGGTTATATTTTTCATATGACCCATATGTTCCTAGAAATCCTGTAATTACGGACCCACAAGCAACTTGCTGAATAAACATCAGTATATTAGAAACTTGAATGTGTTTAAAAATCTGGTAGGTCCGTATGGACCCCATTAGTAACCCTAGAGTTAACTGTGTTATCTTTGTATTTTAGTTTTACGGAAACAAATTCTTTCTGATTTGATTATGCACAAAAATGATTTCTTGGCTAAATATTTATAATAAATAATCTAACCTTCTTATAAATATTGATTTTTATTTCTTTGATATAAAAATTATATTATGGAAAATATATTTTTATTTGGAAGATACATATCGCAGTTAACTTTGTTTATATTGTAACTCATAAAGTCTGTTTCTCTTAAGTATTCACCTTTAACGTGTGTTAAGTTTCTCTATGAATCAAAAACTTATGCTTTATTATATAAAGAAAAATAGTATACATTTGAATAAGACTTTTTCATTGAAGAATAATATATTATCCTTATGTTGATTTGTTTTTTTATAGAATTTGAATATTAGTGAATTGGGTATTGATGAAACATCATCCTCTGAAGTCATTAAAGATGCAGGATTTTATAAAGACTACACTAGTGTTTTGTCAGCAAGAAGGCAAAATAATTACTCGCAGTCATCAAATGGAGATAAAGAAGAACTGAGGATCAGGTCCCCTACACAATTAATGAGTGAACCAGGATCTGTAGGAACATGTTCACCCCAACAGCAAGTTAGTGGAGTCCCTGCTTGCTTAACTGCACAGTGGCGCCACCAACCCGATGTTCTGATTAAAGGAAACTGTAATTACAAAGCACAGGTAAGAATTGTAATTGAGATAATATTCTCAGGAAAACAGAGCAAAACCCAAAGCATTAAACATCTTGGAAATATAAAATGAAGTCTTCTAAATCACATAATATTTTTACCTGAGGATTAGTGTAAACTAAACTAGAAATGGTCTTGTTTTTAATTGTATAATATGAACAATAAGCTTAAAATGAGGATAGCTTGCACATTAGTGTAAACTAAACTAGAAATGGTCTTGTTTTTAATTGTATATTACAAACAATAAGCTTAAAATGAGGATAGCTTGCACATTAGTGTAAACTAAACTAGAAATGGTCTTGTTTTTAATTGTATAATATGAACAATAAGCTTAAAATGAGGATAGCTTGCACATTAGTGTAAACTAAACTAGACATGGTCTTGTTTTTAATTGTATAACATGAACAATAAGCTTAAAATGAGGATAGCTTGCACATTAGTGTAAACTAAACTAGAAATGGTCTTGTTTTTAATTGTATAACATGAACAATAAGCTTAAAATGAGGATAGCTTGCACATTAGTGTAAAATAAAAGATAAATTATCTCGTTTTAAATTGTATAACATGAACAATAAGCTTAAAATGAGGATAGCTTGCACATTAGTGTAAACTAAAAGATAAATTATCTTGTTTTAAATTGTATAACATAAACAATGGACATAAAATGATAATTTGAGGATTAGTATGATCCAATCTAGAAATATTCCTCTTTAAAACTGTGACTCGAGTAATGGCTTTAAAATTATGACAGTTTGAGGATTAGTGTGATCTAACCTATAAATTCTCCTTGTTTGAATTCTATAACATTAACAATGATCTTAAAAAAATATTCAAGATAGACATTTTCCTTGAATAAAACAGGGGTGGCTGCAAGTAAGAAACTTATAAAGAGTATAAATGTAGTTTAGTGGATGGGATGGGCTAGATAGACCAACAGGTCCCTTGTTGCCCCTAAATTTTATGTTATATTATTAGTGATATTTAATCTAAAAATACTCTTTTGAATTGTATAACATGAACAATGATCTTAAAATTATGATAGCTTGAGAATTAGTGTAATCTAATCTAGAAATATTCCTTTTTTTAAATTGTATGACATGAACATTAGCTTCACTGCTGTGTTGGATCATAACATATCCATCCTCTCAATAGTGTTCTGAAAATGGTAAAGCTTTTATTACATCTTGCTTAACATAAAAATCAAAATTCATTCTGTTATTGGTATTGGGAGCTGTATATAACACAAATTATCTTTATTTTCAAACTTTAGAGTTTATTCTCTATGATTTTAATCTTTCTTTGTTTTTTCCTTAATGAGGTGCATGTGATCATTTTTTTCATGTGTTCAAAGGGTTCTATAAAATCAAACTATAAAAGTTTTATTATTAATTAGTAAGTTCTTAAAATAAATGTTCCTCATCTGTTACTTGACTGTACTACACTCTTTACATCTTTGTGCAGTATGATATAATATCTGTGTCTTATGTGATCAAGTCATAATTACATTAGATTTTAGTTTAGATTTACTGTATTTACTTGACAGTATCTTGGTTCTACCCTGGTGAAGGAACTGAAGGGGCTGGAATCCACACGTAAATCCATACAAAAACTTAAGATTTCTACAAGAGAGACTGCAAATGTCCCTAATGTTTTGCTGTCTATCTCTTACACTGGAGTTAAGTTCATTGATGTCCACACTAAGGTATGATATCTTAAACACAATTTCAAAACACCAACACCTTGGAACAACTGAATATTACTGGTATGATATTTCTAACTACAGAGTAAAAACTTTCTTTAATTTCTTATTTGTTTTTACTTTAGAGATCTACAAAGAGCTCAGAAATCTTCTTTAAGTCCACCTAATAACTATATTTACTATTCTGTTTAATTAATAATCAAAATATTGAAGAAATTAGTTGAAAGTCTGTGGCTTAAGATAATTAATTTTTGTTTTGTTTTATATGCAATCAGATAAAAGTTCAAATTAGAGTATGTTCAAATGAACTTTCAGTTATTATCAATGAAATGTATTTACGTAGAAAAATAATTTATCAGTAAGGTCTGAAAAATTATGAAAACGTTTGGGATTTTTAAAATAAAAATTATAATTTTTACTGATTTTGTTTAAAATGTACATGAGAAATAATTTGTTTTATTTCATGTACTTCTTAGATTTTTGTCCAAATTTTTTGCCCCCAGTGGCACTCCGTTATGTCTGCGCACTTACAAAGCTGGAGACCGGATTTCAATATCTGTGGTGGGCAGAGCACAAATAACTCCTTTTGTGCTTAACTACAAACAAACAAAAAAACATATTTTATACTTATTTAGATCAACTACTTAACATATTTTACATATTTTTCCTCAGCAAAAGGTTTGTGAACATGAAATCCGAAACATTCACTGTGCATGTCAAGATGCAGAGGACCTCAATCACTTTGCTTATATCACCAAAGAACACCGGACCAACTTTCATTATTGTCATGTATTTTGTGCTGAGAATATGGTGAGTCTTTTGTTGGATTTCAAAATTTTGTGAAATACTATATGTGGGTATAACCACAACAATTTAATTCCAACTTCATAATCAGCCTATAATTAACTTAAAAGTAAATCATTGTTCTTCTATTAAAAAATAAAGTATACAAAAAATCTCTTACATTATATCACCAGTTTTAACATTCCTATTTTGTGTTATCATTAAATGTTGTTCTCAAATTTTATATGTGATTAATATACCATTATAACATAGTCATTTCATTTCCTGATATATTGTTTGAAATATGCATTAAACTTTTCCACATCAATGTCAAATACACATTATTTTAGCTTAGAAAGACAGATGTAAAGCTTTAAAAAGAATTGACCATCTATGGCATTATGGAAAACTTTTCGGGTTCTTTGACCATTACATAAGTAAACATCAGTGTTGTATAATAAAGACACTGAAAAGATACCAAAATTAAACAATCACATCAAATTTTTTTTACCAGTGGCCTTAATTGTCCATTAGAATATTAACATAATTTTATTGTTTGTCCATTATAACATTAACATAATTTTATTGTTTGTCCATTAGAACATTAACATAATTTTATTGTTTGTCCATTAGAACATTAACATAATTTTATTGTTTTTAAACATTATTAAAGCAGCATATTTGTCAAAATTGAATATGAATTTTCCGAAATGTTCAATATTTTCAGATATCTAATAAACCAACCAAGATATTTAAAAAAGTACTAATGACCTTGAATTGTCAACCATTAGGCTTAATATCTGAAGTGTACATATTTTTAAACTTCTTGAATTCCTCAATGAAAAATGTTGTTCAATAGAACTAGTTATCAGGTAAAATATCATTGAAACAGAGATATCTTCAGAGGAAATCTGCATAGTGAAATAGTGGTAGGTGATACTTTTTATATGTGTAGTAGTTATCAGGTAAAATAGCATTGAAACAGAGATATCTTAAGAGGAAATCTGCATAGTGAAATAGTAGTAGGTGATACTTTTTATATGTGTAGTAGTTATCAGGTAAAATAGCATTGAAACAGAGATATCTTAAGAGGAAATCTGCATAGTGAAATAGTGGTAGGTGATACTTTTAATAATGTGTGTGTAGGAGTCATCAGCAAGTCTGATAAGTGTCATATAAGTGCTTCAAAATGTCTTCACCATTTCGTTCAACAAATTATCCAATGAAACTGTAATAGTGAAATATTGAGCTAATAAAGTTACATTCTGGATATATAGGTTGTGCTTTTATTTACGTTTATAGAATAATCCAAAAATATTTTAGTGGTATCAGATTGTATCATAGTTTTTCAAGTACCTGGCAGTTAAGAAAGAGGACTATTGGTATTGTGCACTATAGTGGTGTTAAGCTATTCCAAAAAGTACCGTTATTGCTATTACTATTTGTGTAATATATTCATCACAGTCTTTATTTTAGCACATGAGATTTGAATGTATGTAATTGGTTGCTGAAAGTTTTATTCATAAGAATTAAAATTTTGACAAGACTTTTTCATTACAGGATCTTGCTACTGAGGTGATACTGACCCTGGGACAAGCATTTGAAGTTGCCTATCAAATGGCCCTACGCGACAAAACTAAGTCTGCTCAAAAGTGTGAACGAACTCTGAACAAATGTGATGATCGAAAGTTGGCTGAGAAGGGAAAGAATGAACCCTCTTCTGCTGACAAAAACCTAGTCCAACAAGATGCTGCAGTCAGTGAACAAGTAGTTTCCAAAAAGACAACATGACAAGACTATCACTTAATCACTCATATATAAATATATGTATATGTATGGATGATTCCTCCACAGTCACTTGTGGATTCTGTCTGGTTATTGCCCAGAGGGACTGTTTTTCAAACCATTTTCTCTATTGCTGAGTACACAAATCTTTATTATAAAGATACTGAAACTTGTATATGATTGCAATAAGTCAGTCTTGGTTACATTCATAAAGCATATATAGAGTTCACAATAGTCTGTCTGAAGTGCTGTAAAGCTGAAGCTCATTTGATTTGATTTTTTTCTATTGAGTAGATGTGAATTTTTATTCTTATTTTATAGCTTTGATCTTTTATTATTACAAGATTTTCTTTAAAAAAGTATTCTTCTGAAGTTGGTTTAAATTGCATGTTGTAGCATTTTAAAATCTATCCTTTTAGCAAGTATGGTTTCATAAATCCCACCTTAAATATCTCTTTTAAAAATTCTAAAATAGCTAATTTTGTAAGTTGTTTAGATTAGGAAAACTTAAGTTTTCGTTTAAGGTCTTCAAGCATTTTATGAATTTATGTGGTGAAAAAATAATATAGGTTCAGTTTACTTTAATTAGTAATGTAATTAGTATTTAGACTATTCCTGCCTCTAGTTTCTTAATAACAAACACACATTCTTTACTCACACTCAGCTATTTTAAAGAAATAGTTTCACCAGCTAGAGCATAACATTACTGAAGGAAATTTGGACATCACATCTTAGCAAAAATGTCACCATTAATGTCCCCCTACTATCTGAAAGTATTTATAATATATGAAAAATAGACATGAGAGACATTTGAAGTCTTCATGAAGTTAATTTATTGCTCCAAGTTAACACAGCAATGTTATACTTTTCAAGTGATCAAAATATTTTTACAAGAGAAAACTTCTGAAGTGTTTATGAATTATTCTCCAACAAAGAATAAAGCATACTTCCAAAACAGCACAAAAAATTTGCAAATATATGTGGAATATATATGTGTGTAAATGTCTGAAAAATATTGTAGTAAAATAGCTTTTGTCATCTATTTATGCCTTAAATGACTAAGTACAGAACTCGTGACAGATTTAATAAATTCAGTTAGAATGATTTTTCACCATAACCTATGCTTAAGGAAATGGTGAAGCAACTTTTTCTTTTGTACCCTCAGTATATTACTAACTAATTATTACTTAGTTTCAAATAATACAGAATCTCAAATATGATTATATGTCAGATTTCTTTTATAGAACTTTTATGAAGATATGTCTGATTTATGATAGACCTTAGTGATAAATAAAGAAAAAATTTTTCTTCACAAAGTCTTAGGCACTACGTGTTCTTCAGAAATTTTCTGTACATAACTGGCTCTATTAAGTTAGACAACATAAATATCTTGAAACTAAGATCCACATGTATTGTCAAAAATTTTAATCTGATGGTTTATTAACTTTTTAATATAAAATTTAAATAATTTGAAGCATTATATGATATGCCAGAATGTCTTGAGTTCTTCATAAGATTCATTGGAATTCTTAATCTTTAAAATTTTGAAATTCAGGAAAATTATCTCAGATCTTGAGATTATTTCCTTAGATAGAATAACTAGGAAATAAATTTAAATCAAAAAGTCTCCCCCCCCCCCCTTCATATTAAGATCAAAGTAGGAAAAAAAACTTTTTTATGACATGGCTAGTTATGAATATTTAGTTTTCTCGAAGACAAGTTTAATGTGTAAAAATTAGGAAATTATAAATAATGTTTTAAAAGACAATATGAGACGTAAAACCTCCATCATTTTTAGTGTTTTGATGGAAAAAAAGCATAAAAATTTTATTAAGACTCAACTTCAAGTTTTCTTATTCTTATGAATTTCTAATACTGGAAAAAAATACACTAAATCAAGAAGATGAAACAGATAAATGTACCATAAAATTGTTATAAGTTTTTCTTTAAAGTTCAATCTTTAAAATGTACTTTGTTTCATCCACAAGGTGAAGAAAGCGCCATCTTACGTTATATTTAGACACTTTTTATTGTCTCCAAATTATGTTTTGTAAATATTGGTTAGCTTGTTCTTGTTTTGTGTTGTATTGAGGAAATAATTGATTTTGCTCAGCTGTTTCATGATGTAGAGTAACAACTTTTGTACATATGCCGTTTGGGTGTAAATTACATACAGTGTATTATATTGAAGTATTACTACATTTTTTGGTTTCCTGTATTGGAAATGAGCCGGTTTAAATTGTTTTGTAGACATATGCAACTCCTGTTTTTGTGCCCTTTCAGTTGTATTTTATATTCAACGAAACAAACGACAGAATAAACTTGGAAGATGCGTGTTACTTGAAAGTCCAACTTCATTTTACGTGATAATGTCATTTGCTTTACAATATTTCAGGTTTAAGGCACAAAAAAAACGACATATAATTGTTGTTATACTTGTCATAAGAACCTAATACTAATGTCTTATGACAATTATAGCTCTAATCATTATTCAACGGCTTGTAAAAGTCATACATACCATATCAATTGTTGTTGTATCAAATAGCTTATTTAAATAGTGTTCCATCAACTGCCGTGTTTGTTGTATCCCAGTTGGCCTGAAGAGCTCCGAATTGAGTGAGACGCATAATTAGCAATGGATATGACAAATATAGTGTGGTTGGAATACTATTATTATAATACACTCTTCTTATTCTTAAAAATAAGGAAAACAGTGAGTCCTGACCACATGGATCCCCTTCTGAAGTACATATTCAACTTTTTGTGCCAGACCTGTGTGCATGAATATACTCGTATTACTTTTTCTAATATTATAAAATCTCGTGGTATGTGCGTTTTTTACAATTCGGCAAAGAATGATTACAATTATATTTGTCACAAGCCATTAGAATTAGGACTATTACACTTTTAAACACTACATTCTTAATCTAATCCCTTATGGACAGTCATCCCTACTTACAGATTAGCAATAAGAAACTTAAGGCACCGATAGTTTCTGATACCACTAAGCACACCCTTTCCTTCACTTGCGGAGCTTACTATTGGAGCAAAGATCTAGAACCAAGTTATATTAATCGCTGTTCACTGATGGGCTAGAAAGAGGAGGGGTGGAAAGTCTGTCATATCGAAGAAAAGGTCTCCTTCAGAGACATGTGGTACGTTTTTAATTTATCATAATATTTTGAAACAAACTATCCTTTACAGCTGTCTTCAACATTTTACACATTATAGACTGTCCAGAATTTTTTTTTACATACAGGAATACTAGCATAGTTGATCCAGAAAATAATTAATTATAATTTTTCTACCACTGGCATTTTTATTTTTCCTTTTATTTCTAATTAATTATTTACTTTTCCGTTTACTTTGTTTTTTGTATTGCTCTGTGCTTGATTTTTAGATAACATCCACGAATATCTGTAACTGAATGAAATGCAGACACGATTTAAACAGTCTAACCACTGATATCCAATCTAAAATTCACTTACTGTAAGAATGTCATATGATTTATTTATTTTTTCAGTTGGTTACGTTGGTCATTTGTGTCCACTTATGAAGTTACAGATTTCATATTCGAATATGTACAAAAGCCCAACTCTAAGAAACTGAAAACTTTTTGAAATCTCTTTAAGTCAGATACTTACTACTGATTTTTGATCGATTCTAGTTGTTCGCAAATTTGGAATAAACTACTCCTCCTTACATTCTGCAAAATGTGTGTCCCAAGGAAGTTAAAGTTCGTGAACTTTATACAGGGAGGCATTCTTCAAGAGTGAAAGAGAAATTAACTAATATTTTGAAGTATGTCTGTGAAACTATGTTGAATGTATTTTGAAATATGTTTGGGGTATATAAGGACTTTTTACCTTCGATTTCGGGGGTAAATATGTATTACTTTGACTACATCCTAGCTGGGGAAAATAGAGGTAGCCCCCAACATTCGGTTAGAGGAACAGTTACTGGGGTATTTGCCTCCCCCAAGGTTTTCGATTACTTGGAATATCAAGCTCACACTTTTAAATAAGACATTGTATATGAAAAGAAAATTCCTCCCGAAAATAATTATAATTTGAGCCACAATATTCTAAGGTTGGTTATATCAGTATTTTGCATAAACACAATATCTACAGATATTATCTGTTGGATATTTCTATATTTCACCGCTTGTCAAGTTAGCAAGCCGGCATACTGCAGTATATCTAATTCCAAGATTTGGGTTCAAATAACTGTATTTCTTTCCCAAGACAAATAATATTTATAGTTATTAAGTTTAAGACTATTACCTAATCTCTCGTCACCTTCCCAAATATTTTGCCACTAAACATGCTCGCCCTTTCAGCTGTTGGGGCGTTATAGTGTGACGGTCAATCCCACTATTCGTTGGTAAAAGAGTAACCCAAGAGTTGGCGGTGGGTAGTGATGACTAACTACCTTCTCTCTAGTCTTAAACTGCTAAATTAGGGACCACGATTTATCGATGTAACACAATGCCTGCAAGAAAGCGTAGCTTAAATGGCTTGCGTTGAAATGATGGAATAAGAAAATTCAAGGGAAGGGCATGAAAACGACAGCAAATATTTTGCGGGTCGCGGCTAGTTATATATTAAAATTGAAATGATGGTAAAATTTACTGTTTTCTCTAATTTCTTTTCACAACATAAAATATGTAAATAAAGAATATAAGTTTGATATGTTTATGCATTATGTTTTTAAAAGTGTTCATTTAAAGTTCTGTAAAACTAGACGAAGGAAATATCGATTGTGTTATATGACAAAACAGTTTTATGTTTGTTCGTAATTAAGCACAAAGCTACACAATGGGCTATCTGTGCTCTGCCCACCACGGGTATTAAAATCCGGATTCTAGCGTTGTAAGTCTACAGACATACCTCTGTGCAACTGGGGGGGGCACAGTTTTATGCTCCTACACCACCAATATATATATATATTTATATATGTTTATTGTAGAAAAGAGCATAATACTGTGTACTGAACAGCGTAAACGAAATACTCGTTTAGTATGGTCACGTGACCCAGTAATTCCTTGTTGGATTTAGCCTATTATCCTATTTTATGCTGTTGTTTCAGGCGATGTACCGCAACGCCAATATCCAATGTAGCTTCTACAGCCATTTCTCTTCCTTTCGGCGTCTATTTCTAATCAACTTTCCACCTGACTGAAAATTGCTGATAACACGTGCTCCACGTGGATGCGTAGTAAGCGCCGAAATCCCTGAAACATAATTGGTTGATTATGATTTCAGAGGGTTCTTGTCATATGCAGGCGGAATTGTCACTGAAATCTTAAGTACTGTTACTACAGCATTGAAATTTAAGCATCGTTTTTGTTATTATCCGGTAGATGGAAGCACTGCCATACTACTGGTGGATAAAATTGGACAATGTTTTCAGAAAGATCCAGCGAGACTTGTGAGTTTGTTTAATACAACAACAGTGTCTGTGTTTATATATATCATTTTAGTAAAAACAGTGACAAGACGGCAGTGGTTTAGACTTAAATGTGTGTGTCATATTGAATTTTATAAAGTTTAGTAGCTAGACAAATGATTTCGAAAGAACAAAAAGAGTCGCAGTTAGCCTGCTTTATATTGTTTCTTGTGAGAACATGGGTAGGTTGAACGCATATGAAAAAGTAGATAAGTAAGCGAATAACAAAATTGCGATCATTGTTGAAGTTAAGTTGAGTCAAAAAATTATTATCTCATTTCTTCGGGAAACGTTTTTTTTTTTTTTTGGTCTTCTCATTTAGAAAGTCATGAAAATTATATTTAGGGATTTATCTCTTTAAAACTTGTGTGCAAATTAATCTGTATCACTGTTCTATACGTTATCATTCTCGCTCAGTAATACTTCACTATTTGGTCCGTTACTATGCGAATTTGTTTGTAAGATGAACACGTGACGATAACAATGATTTAGTACAACTGTTTCTTGTTTGGATTGAGGAATAAATTCACTTACTTTACTGTCTTGCAAGTTTTGTGATTTATGTTGATCTAACCTGTAGTTCTGTGATAACTAGCAGCAGAGGCGTCTCTAGGTGCTTAAAAGATTCGGAGCTCGCCCATAGGCGCGGGAATTTTCGGCGTTTCAATATGACATCGATCATGGTTCTCTATTCTGATTTTTCAAGACACCAACTGAAGAATTGGGGCACTGTCAAATAGAATCGGGACTCCGTGTGTCAGCGCCTAGCGACTCCGCTGATTGGCAGTTTACTGTACAAAACTTGTTGGAATGACTTTGGCCCATGTCACGATTTTTGCTTACATATGCATTGCTTGTCATAATGTCCAGTCTTGGGGTTAAAACTTGCTATTATGACCGTGACCGTTGTGTGCAAGACTTGTTTCGTTTCCATAAGCTGCCCCGATGTCTAAGTTATGATTTATATCTTCGGGTGACATTGAATTCAGAAGGTTCTTGATTTTTTTTTTACATTCACGATTAGAATTTTCTGTTTGTATATTTATCGTACTGATTCAGATTTTCTGCTTTTACACTTACTTCTATGAGGAAGACTTTCAGTTGTTACGATTACTGGTCCAAACAGGATTTCTTATTCCTACACGTGACCTACTATTTTCAGAATTTGTGTTTGTTTGTGTTTATACGCTAAGCTACACAATGGACTATATGCGCTGTGCCCACCACAGGCGTCGAAATCCTTATTTTTAGCGCATAAGCCCTAAAGCCAACTATTTTCGTCCTTTCGTTACAGTTATTGGCTTGTGGCAATCTTTCTTTGTATAAACGTATTAATAATACGAGTAATGAAGCATGAACCGAAGACTAAAAAGTTACGAGATTTTTTCGTGCTGTTTTTTGTGAGAACGTATTGTAACTGACAAAAATGATATAAAGTTCCCTATAGAATTTTTAAGGTTTCACATTTTATTGTTTTTTGTTGGTCATGAATTTCGCGCAAAGCTACACGAGGGCTATCTGCGTTAGCCGTCCCTAATTTAGCAGTGTAAGACTAGAGGGAAGGCAGCTAGTCACCCACCGCCAACTCTTGGGCTACTCTGTGCTACTCTTGGGCTACTCTAATGTGACGGTCAATTCCACTATTCGTTGGTAAAAGAGTAGCATACAGTTGCATAATGTCATTTGATAGTATCTAACAGTTAGCTTAATTTGCTAGACCCGGCATGGCTAGGTGGCTAGGGGGCTCGACTCGTAATCTGTGGGTCGTGGGTTCGAATCCCCGTCACACCAAACATGCTCGCATTGGGGCGTTAAAATGTGACAGTCACTCCCACTATTCGTTGGTAAAAGAGTAGCCCAAGAGTTGGCGGTGGGTAGCGATGACTAGCTG